TGCCAAACAATGGGGAACGGGAAGAAAACTGCTTACCCACATTGTTTTCTGCGATGGACAGGATTGGGGAAGGAGGAACGGGGTTCATATCTGGCTTTTCAATACCTGATCCCAATTAGTCGATCGGAAGAATGGATGTTGTTTGATCGCTTCGGCATCCGACGGTCCAGAACCCAAACGGCGACTAACATCAACAACGAGAAGCTTTTTCAACAACGATGCGGCTTCACAACTAAGAAACGGAACCAAAACAAAGTCCCCACGCAATATCAGGTCAATTGTTTGTTTTCGATCCTCTCCAGTAAATGGTGGGGCGCCGGAAAGCATATCGTACATCAGAGTTCCCAGGCTCCACCAATCAACTGCTCTACCGTGACCCTGGCGCAATAATATTTCTGGAGCCATGTACTCGATGGTCCCACAAAACGTGTGCGTCAAGTTATCTCTGTCAACTCGTTCCTTTGAGAGACCGAAATCTGTCAGCTTTACATGACCCTCAATATCCAGGAGTACGTTTTCTGGTTTCAAATCACGATAAATAATACCCATGGAATGGAGATGGCCAATGGCTAGGGTAATCTCAGCCAGATAGAAGCTGGCTTGGTTTTCCATGAAAACGCCTTCTTTCTCCAGTTGCATGAATAGTTCACCGCCAGCTAGGAACTCGAGAACTAGATATAACTTTCCAGGAGATTGAAAGGCATAGTGCAGTTGCACCAAGAACGGATGCTTAATCATCTCCAAGATATTTCTTTCGCTTTTCGTATGTGCAGTGTCTTTGGCGTTGGTTACAATGGATGCTTTTTTCAAAACCTTCATCGCATAAGTTTGTCCGGTATCCATCTTCCGAGCAAGAAAAACCTTGCCGTATCCGCCCTTTCCCAAAACTTTGAGGAGCTGAAAGTCATGAGGACGAACCTTAGGTTGGCCCGGATTAACTGTTTCTTCACAAATTTTAACTCTTTCCACAGCCCCGTTAATTTCTTCTGTTTTCAAAGGTCCATGTTCCAGGAATTCTTCCTCGATTCCTGGAGTACAAGGGGTATACTGATCTGTAACTTCCTCTCCTTCTTCAAAGCTTGTCGCATCCGGCATATCCAAATGAAATACTCCAGCAGTTGTCATATTTACTACGGAACCCGAATACACATTTCTAGGTCAATGTTGAGTGACGCGCCAAACCAAAAGACGGAATCAAGCTAGGTACAATTGGTTTACTAGCG